CAATCTAAGAAGGACGTAAGAAAATATTAGAACGTGTCCAAAGGAGGGCAGCAGAGGTGGCGAAAGGAGTAGAGGGCTTGTGAGGAGCGGCTGAGGATAGCAGGGTTGGTCAGCCTGGACGAGAGGAGACCGGGGGGTGACCTCATTGCTGTCTGCAACTTCTTTGTGATGGGGAACGGCGAGGGAGGTGCTGATCTCTTCTCTCAGGTGTCTGGTGATAGGGAGGGGCTTAAAGTTGCGTCGGGGGAAGTTCAGATTGGCCATTAGGAAAGAGTTCTTCATGGAGAGGGTGGTCAAGCGCTGGAACAAGCTCCCCAGGGATGAGGTCATGGCCCCAAGCCTGTCGGTGTTCAAGAAGTGTTTGGAGAACGCTCTTAGATGTAGGCTTTAACTTTTAGGTTGCCTTGTGTGGAGTCAGGAGTTGGGCTTGATGATCCTCCTGGGTCTCTTCCAACCCAGGAGATTCTAAGAATGTTCCTTTTGTTCTGAAAACTGTGCTCTAGAGAGGGAGAAGACACTCTTCAGCTAAGGCAGGACCTTGGGCATGGTAGGGGCAAGCCCCACTTCTGAGTCCTCATCTGGGGGCTCAACGCGAGCAAGCAGCAGATGGAGGAGTTGGAGAATCATTCCTGAAGCTCATGCCATTCAACCGACCCTCTCCTCCTCCTCCTCAAAACCCGTGCTACATCAGATGTGCTCCAGAAGGAAGGACAGACCCTGTCTTCTCCGGCTCTGCGTGGGGTGGAAGGCCAACCGGCAAACAAACATTTGCTCCTCTTCCCAGACGGGGTGAAACGTCACTATCGCTGCACAGGAGCAGATCAAGAGGAGAAATCCAGGTCTAGCAGAAGACCTCGCGGTTTGGGACAGTAAGAGAGACCGTGGGGAGTTAAATCCGGGGGGCGGGGGGGGGAGAAGAAGAATGGAGGATGACGGTGCCAACCCTGCGAAAGCCGTCTGGCGGACAGAGCAAGGCGAGGCAGGCTACGAGGAAGGAGAGCTGCGAGCCGTTTTGAGGAGGATGCAATCGCCTCAACGCTTCCTAACGCCTGCCAAGAAGCGCCACGTGTTCTCCAAGGCGGCTGCCAATAGGTTCGGAGCCAGGAGATACACAAACAGCCTGGCTAACGAGCCAAAGCCGGGCTTTTAAGGAGGGGGTTGCAGCAGCGGGGCACACCTTCGCCCGTAAGGTTTTAAAACTTTTAAGCTGTTCAAAACCAAACCAGAGTGAATGTCGCAACCCCTGGCTACGTCACAGCCCGTCCCGGGACGGGCAAGAGCCGAGATAACCCTCCTGCTCTCCGCAGCGCTGCAGCCGGGACGCGTCCGACGTTGAGCGCGGCACTTCAGGGAGGGTTCAGACGTATCGGGGAGGGAATCGCGAACGATCGAGGGTCTAAAATCACAACCAAAAAGGGGAGATTGAAAGATCTGGGTCTACGGAAGAGCATAAACTGTTGTCTTTGCTTACTGTGGGTAGAATGAACAGTAATGGATTTAGAAACTAAAACCACCAAAGACCCCATCCGCTTTCTAAGGGTGAGGGCTGGTGACGGCAGCGTGGGTGCCAAGGGCAGGGGTGGAGTCTCCGTCAGAGCCCGGAGCAGCCAAGTTCAGGTTGGTTTAGGTACCGTGGACTTGCTTGGAAGCAGCGGGAGGGAACAGGTAACCTCCGAGATCCTCCCGGTATCTCAAAACATCCTGTTTTTACCACAAACGCTCCCATCTAAACAACCAGCGCAGCCAAGTTCAAGTTCTCGCCGCAGACCCAAACACCTACTTCCTCCCTTTGACTTTTAGTTTTGCTTAAAGAGGGGGGTTTTTTTTGTTTTGCTTTTAAACAAGCAGCCAAGGGTGTGAGACCAGCAAGAGCCAAGCCAGCTCTCCCGCTCCGCTCACGGGCAGAGCGAGCACGTGTTAAACCCACAGCCCTTTCCCGACGCCGCTGTTCGTTTCTTCTCCGCGTCCCACCTGCGAGCAGCTCCGGGAAGGGAAACTTCGCCCCTCAAGGACAGAGATGCTCAGGTCTTGCCGTGATTTGATTACAAGCCCAAAAACGGAGAAGCACCACTGTGCTCATTGAATCAATCTCCCGGCGCTCGGAGCCGAATCCTCCGCCTTCGTTTCTCGCTGCAGCCTCGTTAGAAACCATGAACCGCAGCCGGCGCAGAAAACGGTTCACAAAACGCTCCCCAAAAAGGGGATTTCTCCCTGCCTGCCCCCGCGACGGAGGGTTTCGGTTAAGGGTCTACCCATATTCTCAGCTCTTAACAGCTCGAGAGGCATCTTGCAACGCCGGCAGAGACCTTCTGGCGGTTCACGCGTCTGGAAGCGGAGAGGAAGGAAGCAGGAAGCGGTTCGCGGAGAGCCGCCTGCAGATGCTGAGCTGCGACATCGTCCCGGGGCGCGAGCAGCATCGCTGCTCCCACGGCACCGGGGTGCCGGCACCGCCAC